TATTTATTTATTTTTTTCATAACACCGGCCTTTATCCCTGTTCATTTGTCCTTTTTCTTTAGTCCCCTTTTTTTTCTTCCCTTTTTTTCTTTAACCCTTTTTTTCTTTAGCCCCAAGTTCGGGCGCCAAATGTAGCTTGATCTTTCCACCTCGGCCACAGTCAGGACAAACCTCTGTCACCCGCCAGTCCCACAGCCGCTCAGACCCAACCAAATAAACACAGACACTTATATTGCTTGCAAACTGCATGGCCGTGGCAGGCTTCCTGCCAACTGTCCTTATCTTGCTAACTGTGCTTTTATCTTAAATTGATCCATTTCCATACATCTCTCCAGACTACATCTGTCTCTTCAAGTATTAGTTCTTACAGCTAGCTCTTAGTCCTGCAACCGTGAAACATCATGGTAACTGTTGTTACATGATTAACCATACAATCTGTCATTTGCTCTCTGTCTGCCTTGTTAGACTCCTAACTCCATGAGGAAGAGACACTGTTGTTATAATACCATAATGCCTTGTGCAGAAAAATGGGTGCACAGTATACATGTTAAAAGATGCAATAAAAATCCACTCTAGGGTGGGAGCTGTAGGTGGACACATGAGGACAGAGGACAGACTGACAGAATCTGAGGGTATGGTAACCTAATTCAATGGTCAAGAAGGAGTGTCCAAAAGATGAGCCCAGGGCCTCAAGTGTGAGGAAAGATATTACCACCCCCAGCAGAAAATAAGAATGAGATGGGGTAGGTTTGATGGGAATGTCTAATGTGAAGTGGATGCTGCCACATTTGGTTTGAAACAGCTTCCAATCAGTTGAAGAAAGGAAGAGCAACAGTTCCTTGGTCTATGGATATGTCTCACATTGGTTCTATAGACTTCTAACAGTTGCTGTTGAGGGAAGGGATGTTCCACTTCATGTACTAACATTGCTAATATTCTATATTCAGACATTCATCATGTGTATTTTTATAACACATTTAATGTAGGTTCTTGGGTAGAAACATAAAGAAGACTTAGCAAGTGAGGTGTGTGTAGGTGAGAAATTACTTTGCCTCTGATAGATTCATGTTATGCTCCAGGGTAACTATGTGTTTTGCTTTTCTTTGCTTTGATTAATTTGCTTCTTTGAGACAGAGTATCTATATGTTGCTCATGCTGTCTTGAATTCCTGGGCTGGGGAAATCCTCCAGCCTCAGCCTTCAGAGCATTTGAGACTTAAGCATGTGTGACAGCTCCTGGCTGGATGACTCTGAAAACTTGATAGAAAATACTAAAATCACAACATGCCTCATGTTTGATCATGTGTATACTTAGGAATTCATTCAAAGCGATTAATCAGACATGTATTCAGGATTTGTTCAGAAGGATATAATCTCCTTATATATCTATAGCTACTTCATGGTAGAATTTCCTTTCAATAATTTTCTGTGATGGATCTTATAATTTCAAAATTCAGGACACACACACACACACACACACACACACACACACACACACACACTCTTTCACCCCATCTTTGACCTTAAACATATTAGACTATATCCCCAAATCTATTAATTTAGGTTACTTTCTTTTTTTTAAATAAATATGCTGTGATAAACATATCTCTACATAAAGCTACTGTATTCAAAGGAGGTAATCAGATGCCTTTTGTCATTGTTGTCTCAGTTTTATCGAGACAGATTTTCTCTGTATAGTCCTGGCTGTCTTGAAATTCTCTCTGTTGACCAGGCTGGCCTTGAACTTATAGAGATCCACCTGCCTCTGCCTCCTGAGTGCTAGGATTAAAGATGTGAACCACCACTGCCCTACTATGCCTTTTTAAGATCCTTAATACATCACCAAATGATCTTTCTCATAGTTAAAACAAATTTTATTGTCATTAGCAGGATACAACATTATAGTGTTGCCAAATTTGGCTAAATTTAAAACTATCTCTGATTAGATGTATGTGATTTACCAGGTCCCATCAATGCCAAACAGGCATTTGTCTTGGCTTTGAGAAAAGAAGAAAAGGAGGTCACGATCACACACCTGTCATTGGTGACATAAATTGTAGGGTAAATGGACTTAAACTCATGTAATAAGCATTCCAGTCTATTTACACTGAATTCATTTAAAATGCACATGTGTAGTGCCTAAATATAGAGCTCTCATCTGCCCTGCAATTGTCTCCTTACCCTTCCTTCCTCCCTCCCCAGAGAACTGTTGTGTTTTTGTAGAGGCAATAGG